ACTGCCGCAATCAGGACAACTCCAATCGGTTAGGATTTTTCACACCTTTCCATGCTTGGTGCTGGAGGCACGCGTCGTGGCTGCAGACTTGCTGTTCGCGCACAGGTTCGGCCAGCTCTTTTGAAGTCATTACAGGTAGACTATATGCCGGAAAAATCGTGAATTTTTCTGAGATTGTGTATGCTAGAGTTAAGTCAACCGTTAAGGGTAAGACTAGATGGATCAAAAATGATGGTTAGGCAAACTATCGGCGTCAGATTTGCACTTCGACAAGGATCGGCGCGCGAATTCGCGCACATCGATCCTGACAGAGCCGAGAGCGCAGATGGTCTCTTCTTGCGCTTGATGTCAGCGACGTATTTTTGCATTGCAGCCAGCACTACCTCATGGTCACACGCATCGGTGACCGGTGGTTTAAACTGTGGCGTATGTTGCCAGGGCAACGTGACGGGAGTGTGACTTGGTTCAGTGATTTCACGGCTGAGATGCAAACTGCTGTTGGTATCGAGTTGCTTCCTGAAAGCCCAGCTCTGTTTCGTCTGCCTGATGGCGCAGGCGGGGGTTACGTGCATGTGGATGACATGCTGTGCAGTGGTGTTACGACCACTCTTGAGAACCTTGAAGGCCATCTGCAAAGTAAGTTTAAGATTTTCTCTGAATGGTTGCGCGAAGTTGGAGATCATGTAACTTTCCTTAAGCGTCGACACCTATCGGTCGGCCGTTGGAATCCTGATGTATATGAGCAGTGATCTGATTGCATGTCAATTTGGCATAAGATATTTGTCGACGTATGCTCACAAGCCCACCGAGAGAGCTTGGAAGCTTCTCAGGCATTTGACCTCCTACATCAGCAGCCACCGAGACCATGTGGTTGGGCTTGCTAAGCCAGAGCTTGGGAGAGGTTTGATCCGTGATGGACCTCTCGGTCCAACACCTCCGTGCTTGAAGTGTACAGTCATGCTGATTGGAGTGGATGCAAAACAACACGCAAGTCGGTTTCTTGTTGTGCAATCCTGTGGGACAACATGTTGCTGTATTCACACAGCAAGACACAAAAGGTGATAAGTTTGAGCTCGGCCGAGAGCGAGTACAACAGCCTTGTTCCAGCAGCAGAGGGCATCTTCCTGGCAGCATGCATTCGCTTCTTGGTTCTTGAGGTTGAACTTGAAGTCAATTGCCTTGTTGAAAATTCCGCGGCGCGCTCGCTTGCGTGCCGACAGGGAGTTGGAATGCGCCACATCAGTGGCAAGATCCTCCGGCTGCAACAGTGCGAGAAAATGTGCTGACGGTCGGATGGAACTGAGCCGCTGAAGGCCGATCGGGTGGACAAGTTGCTTGGCATGCTTGGCGTCAGGTGCAGCGACGATGGGTATGCAAAGCCTTGGAAAGAGCGATAGTTTGCAGGATTGTCAAGCTGAATGTGCAGCAGGTATGCAAGTGCTTGCATTTATTCTTCAAGCTGACCGTGTCACAGCTTCCAGCGATGAGCCCAATACTTCTTCGAACGCCTTGAGCCAGGAAGCTGATGACGAGTGGAATGATTATTTGGAACTTTCTTGAAAATCTGATGTATGCGGATTTTCTTGATGTACGAGTTCGTGACCGATCATCCTTATGCAATCATGCTGATTCTTCAAGCCTTCGTCTTCGCAGCGATGTGTTTCCAGTGGTGCTGCTGCCTGCGCAGCGGTGAACGCGCCAGGAACCTACAGCAGGCCAGTGAGCAACCAAGTGTGGCAGTGCATGTTAGGGTTGAGGGTACTTCGGTTGTGGTTGACACGTCTAAGGATAGTCCCATGCCGGTTTAGACCTTAGTACCTTGCACATCCGTGTCGCCGCGCCCGCGGCAGCCACTACCAGTGCATGCAGCAGTGCGGCAGCAGGCACTAGTGTGTCCAGCACCGCAGCAGCGAGTGCCACACGTGATGATCATGATGCTCGCGATCCTCAGGAGGGATCTGCAAGCAGGCCAATGCCAAAGGCCATGAACATGCCACCAGTGCGTGATGTGAATGAGCAAAAGACGCAGCAGCAGCTTGTTTGGGTCACCAAGTCGAGAGGCAGATCGTACCACAACAGGCGTTCATGCGGAACGCTCGGCAATGCAAAAGCACTTGAACAAATCACACGTGGCGAAGCCATCCGCAGAGGCTTCAAGCAGTGCAAGTGTTGCTACAGTGGATGATCCTTGACTTGTATCCTTGAACAATGCTCATGATGCGCTGAGCTGTGAGTCCCATGCCCGCGCATGGGATTCACCACTTGGCATTGTACATAGGCAGCTGTGGGAAATTGTACATAGCTTGCTTGAACACATGTCAATGCCTTGCAGAAACAGCATTTTGCTGTCAATCCATGAAATCATTTACCAACCGTCAGATGCAGCTGTGGAGCAGCTGCAAATCCGAAGGAGTAGGCTTGTGCCACTCGATGCATTTAGGCATCTCAATCTTCAGTGTGACGATCCTTGAACTTGTGTACGCTTCAAAGTTGCGTGCCAGCTTGATTCTTGGCGTGTATGCTTTTCGTCATCGGCGGCCCACGCCTTTCGACGGAATGCGCGTAGTGTACAGTGCTACGTGTAGCTAGTGTGTCAACGTAGTGAGCCAATGACCTTGATGGCAGTGCTCAAGAACGCCGAAACTTTACGAGTGCTTATCCTGAACTAAGTGTTCTTTGTTTGACCAATGGAGAATCATGGTACAGAAACCCATGCCCGGGCCATGAGTGTCTGTAGGCGGGGTGTTTATGATTTCTCCCATTCGACATGTCGTATTTCATGTGTTGCTTTATTTTACGGTGCACTCATTTTCACCTGGGCATGTGAAGCACATGACCGTTTACCGCAGGCGTTCTTTCAGAGTGTGAGAAAATTTACAGCGGTTCAATTTGTAAGTTCTCCACAATGCAAAAAACCAATGCGGACTTTCAAAAAGATCGAGAAAACCTTTTACAATCGATGCAACAATACTGCAGCTCAGCCGTTTTCTGCAAACCCAGAAACTTTGCCAGCAATGTTGTTGTTGAGCTTGTTGACAAAATGTGTTTTTAATTTTTCTTCGTTTTTGCACTCCAAAGCGTTTTCGTGTGAGTTTTTTCTTTTATTCTCTTGTTTTAAAGCCTCAAAAAACATTTTTTTGTGTTGCTTTCTTCTTTTTTTGATGGAAGCAATGGAAAGGGAGTTTGGGTTTGGGTTTCAATCCCAACCCCAACCTTCCTGGCAAGGGTTGCCTAACCTTGGAACCCAGGTTGGAACCCGAGTTGAGCCTGAGGTTCACCCGAGTTCGAACCCAGGCGCTTTGCGGCGGGCAGGGAGGGGTTGTTCGAATCTAGGTTCAACCCAACCTGCGGGGAACCAGCCTCCCGCAACTCCAAAGGCCGCTTCTGCACTTGCCAACTCTCTTGACAATCACCTACAAGCGGATCTACAAGGGTTTGGTTTTCATTTTCTCTTGCGCAGGTGTCTCTTGCAGCCTTGTTCTTTAAGCCTTCGTAAAGTTGCTGCGTTTTTCTGGTGGTAACCTGTTTCCTTGCAGCCTTCTTATCTAATTCTGCAGAGAAAATGTTGCAAACTTTGAAAAAGAGAGGAAAAAGCATTTATGAGCAAAACCTTGGAGGTTCCAACTAGTTGCACCTTTGAGAATTCCGGCTCCTTCAGAATTTTAAATTCAATGGAAGCTTTAAACAGGTTTGAAAAGAGGCAGCTTGGAAGCTCTTTGAAATTTCATTTTTTCCAGCTGTTGGCATACCTTGTGTAAACCCAAACCAGAAAAAAGGCTTGCTGTGCATTTGTATGCTTGTCAGCAGTCAAGATGTTTTCCAGACCAAAAAACACGCATGACTTCACAGGCTGCAGCCAAAACAGAAATTTTTGTTGCCCACTTCTCCACACACGTTCGGCACGTTGGCGCATTGCCTTGCTCTTCTGGAGCAGCTCGCTCTGCACTGGCACAGCAGCCTCTTCAGAAAGAAATGGGCGCTTTCTGTCAAAAAAGCGCAACCGGGAATGCTCCGCCACTCCAGTCCAACAAGCCATCGCTCGTGTTGTACGGTCTCTCATGTTGGGTGAGTTGAAAATCCACAATGGCCTGCTCAGTTTTTCGATGCTGAAATGGATCGAAAGATATTCAAAAACCTTTGACCTCAGGCCCTAAGCTTGCCATCTTCAGCCTCACTAAGCCCCGACCCTAACCCGACACCCTAAGCACTAAGCTTCAACCTTACACCCTGTGCATGCAGTCCTATCTCCGCAGGCACCAGGCTCAAGCGTGAGGCGCTTGGGTGCCAGAGGCCTCTGCCCTTGGCCTTCCACTCGAAAACCTTTGAGGCTTAGGGTGTCAGAGTACGATTTGGGGTTACGGGTTTAAGGTTCCTTAGTATGACGATGTCCTTCTACAACGCCCATAGAAATGCAGGGGTCGATGCTTCACAGGTGACTCAGGCTCACTTTAAAGGTTCGCGGGTTGGGCGTTTGCGACCTGGGGGTTTAAGCGTTCTGGGTCCAGGTAAGAAGGCGGTTTTTGCCTGAAGATGACGGAGCTGGTCGAGTTGCGGGATGCCTCGACCTTCGAGGGGGATCCTCGGCTCTTCTTGAGTTCTGTAGACTTCTTGTGGAAAGCGCTAAGTTCCTTCAGGAGAGCACAACAAGAGTCATACAACTTTCTAGACCGTATTTAATCCTGAAGGTCCGAACCCTAAACCTCAAGCCCCAAACTCTACACCCTAGACCTTAAAAGCCCCCAAACCCTGAACCCTAAACCTTAAATCCCAAACTGTTAAGACGAGCTCAGGACGCCAGCCCTTCAGTGCCAAAGCCGACGGCCTGGAACTCCACGGCAGTCCTTGCGTGCACATGCTGCTTCCTGATCCTTGGCCGGCCAGTTGTTGGGTTTCCCTTTTTTTTTGCAGGAGCCCTAAAACCCCTAGGTGTCCCCTTATAAGGAGGTCAGGGGAGGCCAGGGGAGGTTAGGGTTTAAGGTAACAGGCCGAGTCTTCCGTATGCAAAAACATACATACATGCATTCCTACATTCCTGCATACCTACATACATACCTACATACCTGCATACCAACATCCATCCATCCATGCATGCATGCATCCATCCGTCCATCCATCCATGCCTAACCTTCGATATGTATATGCAAGTGTTATCTGTGTATATACACCTGTGTATACATAGCTTAGCGGATTTCAGGAATTCCGGCCTTGGGGGTCTAGGGCCGTTTACGGAGGTAGGCTTTCAGGAGTTTGAGTTTTAGGGTCCTGGGGAGCTTTGATGCAATAGACTTCATCAGTGCACTCTAGATACATATATATATATACACACACATACAGATATGTACATACATACATGCATGCATACATACATACATACATCCATTGAGATCCACGTCACCCGAAGCCCTTCGATAAGAAATGAACCATCTCGATGTTTCGCCGAGGATCTATGTGCTTCAGATGGTGGGGTTGGCAAAGATTTCGCCTCACAACACCTCCGACACAGTCTGTGTGACGATACCTGGGCTAAAGGAGAAAACCGTCCTACGCGCGTATTACGTAATCACGGATGCTCAGCCGGCATTCGGTGTCCCTGCGATGACTCTTAGACAGCTTAGACCTTGCGAAGCAGGCTTGGGGTCATGCAGCCCGAAACCAAACCCTGAATGGTGGGCTCCATGGCTGTGCAGAGTTCGCAGAAAGTGGTTGGTTCCGGACTGCATGATCCGAAGCCCCCAACCCCGAAACCCAATAAATACCTGATGTCCTGATGGTCAAACCAGTGCCAGTATCCGTGAACAAACAGAATAGGGTTTTCAGGTATGTTACGCTAGAAATAACAAGGGAGCTGACACGAAGGCACCTTGGGGCGCATCGGTCCCTCCCACCCTACAGCTTAAACCCTAAGCCTTGAACCGCATCGGTCCCTTGCGCTCTTCACCCAGACCAGTGGCTTCGGATGGTGTGTTGAGCCCATGGCCTCAGTCTCAGGTCCCACGGTTTAGGGTTTGGGCCTTAGGTTTGAAGGTTTTCGGGTGTTAGGTTTCAGGGTTTTCTTGTGTTGAGGGTTTGGAGTTTATGGTTTAGGGTTTCGACCTCACAGAACATGAGGCCAAAAGTGGCGATCCAAAAGTCTTTCGGATCCGTTGCCGCTGCAAGGGTGTGGGTTCAGAAGGTGCAGTCCGAAGCCAGAGTGCCCCTGGGTTAAGGTTTAGGGTTTAGGGTTCAGGGTTTAGTGTCACAGAAGCCCGTAAACTCCAAGCACCCGAACTCCTAGGCCCTAAACCCTCAAGCCTTAAAGAACCCTGCACCCTAAAAGCCCAAGCCAACAGTCTAAAAGCTATAAACCCCCCAGGAAATCGCCTACCTCCCCTCCTTCGCGTGGGGCCTGGTCGAGTGCTTGCGGTCGGCTGCCGTGGACATCCGCATCCAAAGCAATGCGTGGTCGACGTATACGAAACTCTGCCTAAACCCTAAACCCTAAACCCCAAACCCTAAACCCTAATCCCTAAACCCTAAACCCTAAACCCCAAACCCTAAACCCTAAACCCTGGCATGGGGGTTTTGGGGTACGTGAATCAGGGTTTGGGATTCGGCGTTTCGGGTCCCGGCTCGGGGGGCTCCGGGTTGAGGTCCCGGGCTGACGTTGAGGCTTTTTGGGGTTTAGGGTTTAGGGGTTTAGGGCTTAGGGCTTTAGGGTTTAGGGTTGTTTGGGGTTTAGGGCTTAGGGCTTAGGGCTTTAGGGTTGTTAAGGGTTTAGGGTTTAGGGTTTGGGGTTCAAAGTGTGAGGCTTCTCCTTGAGCTCGAGCCCTCAACATGGCTCTAAACCTCAAGCTCTAAACTTCTGCGAAAGGTGTTATAAAGCCCTTTTTCCTCGGAAAAACCTCAAAAGACCCTAAGGCCCTAAGGCCCTAAGGCCGCCTCAGCCCCAGGAAGCTCATGGCCAGTACAACTCTTCTCTGTTTCTACCAGCTCGCGGCGCGGATCCTCATGGACAGCCTAGCCCACGACTACATCAATGGCGCCTTGGATCTGTGAAGCTTCCCGGCCCTGAACCCAAACCTAAGTGCGCGCAGTGCAGGATTTGAGTTTTCGGGGCGGACCTGAGAGCCGTGAGCAGAAAGCCAGCTCCGAGGCTTTCGGGGTGGAGTAGTTAGCAGATTGCCCCTGGAGCTGGGATGTGGAGCCTAGCTGAAAGCCTAAACCCAGAATCGTAACGCCTAACCTTCAAACTATAAAGCCTCAAGCCAGATTCTATTTGCGGTCCAGGTGTGAACTTGAACGACCCGGTGGCCGTCCTTGGCTTCGTGACAGGCACCGGGAAGACCAATCCTTCCAGGTTTTAAAGGTGCAGTTCAGGCTTAGGTGGTTTGGGTTTTGGGTTTCGGGTTTACTCGAAGCCCACGCCACAACCCGGAACTTAACCTTCCGGACCCTTAGATTTCGATTCCCCGAAGCTCACGGAGAACCCAACCGCCGAAAGCCGAGACCGGGCCGAGAGTAAAGGGTTTAGGATATGCACTGCCAGTTCTTGCACCTACCGGAGACCTTGAGCATGAAACCCTGCATCCCCAACCCCGAATCCTGACATCGGACCCGTGACGGAAAGGCAGCACCCTGTCCTACATCGTGCAGTGCCGGCTTTTCGCATATGCCGACCATATCATGGGCTGCAACCGCCAAGGCGGATCTGGGGCGTTTTTCCTGAAGAGCCGCAGCAGCAGGAGGAGCAGTAGTAGGAGCAGTAGCAGTGGTAGTTGGGAGGAGTAGTAGGAGTAGGATGAGGAGGAGGAGGAGGAGTAGCAGCAGCAGCAGAAGACGGAGCAGCAGGAGGATGAGGAGGGGCGGTAGCAGCAGGAGGCGGAGGAGTCAAGTTCCGCAAGGTCGCGAGATCGGGCACACACCCATGCTCACAAATCCTTCGGAACGGGTTGTCCGGCTCAGGGCTTCGGAGGGGCCCTCAACTACACTCTAAGCCCCCGACTGGTCCGAAACTTCTGCTCAGGTTGCTGCTGGCGGCGCCGGGAAGCACCGGCCCAGCCTTCCGGGTGTCAGGAGGGGTCAATTCCTGGGTTTGGGGTTTAAAACGGGCCTTAGGGTTGAGGGTAGAGGGTTTCGGGTTTGCCGTGGAATAGCGCTTAGGCGATAGTGTCTTGCGACAAGGTTGTGTCGAGTGCATCGTACTGTCGTGATGAGCTGCGATAGCTTGTCCCTGGATTGCTTTCCCACCCCACGCCGTATAAGGCGGCCAGACCCCCCTAACCTAAGGGCAGACCGTGATTTCTGCTTGGAAGCTCCCAAAGGCCCTGCAGGTTCCCATTTTTGCGGGGGCGGGGTTTAGGGCCGTTGAGGGTTTAGGGTTTTAGGGTTTCGGGTTTAGGGTTTAGGGTCAGGGGAGAACGTGTTCAGGTACCGGGTGGGTGCTACAGTCCCCATGGCTGTGCAGAGGCGGGCTGACGTACTGGACGGCCTTTCCGCCCACCCACAGTAGGGCGGCCCATGCTTTGAGCTCAGGGTTTAAAAGGGGCTTTAGGGTTCAAGGTTTAAAAGGGGCTTCCGGGTACGTTGCGGGCGCAGACACCTAACCTCAAACCTAAACACAAAGGAAACGAGATGTTGAGGCAGTTGAGGCTGCTAAGCCCTAGACCCTCGACGCTAACGCCAAAATCGAAAGCCCTAAGCCCTCAACCTCTAAGACAAGCCCCGAATCCTAAACCCCAAAACCTCAAACCCCTTAAACCCTCAAGCCCAAACCCTAAAACCCCCCTAAGCCTCTAAGCCCTAAAACCCTAAACCCTAAAGCCCCAAAACCCTTAAAAGCCCTAGATCCCCCCCCATCGGTCTGCAGCAGGACCGGCCTTTTAGACCTCCTCCCGCTGCGTCCGCCTGTGTTTGGGTCGCGGCCGCCGTGCTTTCATTCAGATTTTGGGTTTTGGGGGATTTAGGGTTTCGGGGGTGGGGTTTAAAGGGTCAAGGTAGAGCCGTTTCTTTTAGCAGGGTTTCTTTGGTGTTTAGTTTTTTGAATCAGGATGTGTTTTTTTGTGTCTTTAGCAGGGCCTGCATAGCTTTGCAAGTTCTGTTGCCTTTCTAAGGGTATTGTTTTGTTGCTGGTTCGCCAGATGTTGTTAGTAACTGGGTGATGAGAGTTCTTTGTTTTTTCCTAAACCCTAAGCGGGATGATTGCCTGGGGGGCTTGGAAGCTTCCGGCTTTACTCGCAGGGTTCCGAAGCTTTGGGAAGTTTTTTGGAGCAACTCCTTTTGAGAGCTTTAGAAGAGTCCTTAAGCCCAAATTCTACACCTCACATCCTGAGGCCCCCTTAACTCTGCAACCCGAAGCCCTAAAGCCCACAGCGATTGAAGTTCTAGTTTGAGCTTTGGGTCAAGCCAAACCAACACGCCTGGGGCGTGGGATGTTTGAGGAGTAGAAATTTTGGGTGCAGGGCTTCGGGTTTCGGGTTGGAAGCGGATGCGAACCTTTGGCAGGGGTGTTGGTTTGCTTTCAGACAAGGCGTGTCTGATTGGGCTGCGCGCCTATCACAGCGGTGTGCTGCTGGCGGGCTATAAAGCGCCCCACTGGCTCTCCACCTTAGCCCGCTTCTCCCGCATTTCCTACCGCTTCCTGATGGGCGTGGCCCACTTCCTGCGGGCGCGTGCGTACTTGGAGCACCCTCTGAACGAACGCCTCAGCGCACAGTTGAGGAGCAGTGGGCTGAATTTAAACCTAATTTCAAAATTGAACCCTAAACCCTAAACCCGCCAAACCGGTGTCTCGCTTTGTTTTCGCTTGGACGAGTGCTGCTGCACCTTTGAGCAGCTCAGCAACCGTTCTATAAGGGTCACTACAAGCGTTCTATGAGGGATCTGTGGGTTTAGGGTTTAGGGTTTAGAGTTTAGGAAAAGGGGGCCCTATCAGGTGCAATGATGTTCCTTAAACCGGCTCTTGCTGTATCTATCTGCCAGCCTGTCCTTGTGGCACTGGTACATCAAACCTAAACCCCAATCATAAACCCCACCCTTTTCCGACTTTCGCTTCCTAAACGTCGAAGCCAAGAATCCTAAGCCCGGAGCCCGAAACCATAGACCCTGGGCTTTAGATCTTGAGGCTCATCTCCCTGGGACCCTAGAGCCCGCAGAGGAGCAACATGGCCACCTTGAGCCAGATGATGGTCGTGGCGTGCGTTTTGGGCACCTCTACCGACTTCCTCGTCGTGGCGAGGGGGGTGGTGCTGCCAGACGTCTTCTCTCAGGATGCAGGGGGCTTTGGGTCGAAGGCTTCAGGGCCGCTGTACCGGCAATATCGCCACGACTGCTTTTGAGATTGCTGCGTGGGTATCTTGGGGCCATAAACCCTGCGCCCTAAACCCAGTGAGGATTTCACTGATGCCGAGATGGACACCTTGAACGACCTCTTCACTCAGTGGCTGCCCGTCACGCTGATCATCACAGGTACCGGGGCCCGAAAGACCTCCAACCACACAGATTTCACAGTCAGCATTGTCTGGAATCGCCCTGCAAGGATTCCTCTAATGGGTTCCTCTAAAGGGTTTCTTTGTAGGCCCCTTCTTACCCCAAAGCAAGCTTCCCTCATCTTAGGTCCTCCTGGGGCCCTCCAGGTACCATCGACAAGCGTGCTCCCCAGCAAACCATGAACGACCTCCGGGCCTGTGGCTTCAACAACGGCCTGGTGCTCTTCTTCCTTTACCTGGGCACCTTTCTCTTCGGGGCCGCTGGGTGGTGTTTAGGGAACTTTGTTCAAGCTGCTGAAATAAGATATGGTTGTTCTTCTTCCTTAGACAAATGACTAAAGGAGTAAATGCATGAATCAGTATGTTAAGAAGTTTCACCTACCCACCTATCAATGTCAGAACTTACTTCTCTGCCTTCCTACTTAGCTACCTATCTATCTAGCTACTTATCTACTTATCTGCCTATCTACCTTCCTCTCTGTCTGTCTATCCGTTTATTTAGCTAGCTAGCTATCCATCCATCTATCTATCTATAATGTATCCCTCTATCCATCTATCCATCTATCTGTCTATCTGTCTATCTACCTACCTATCTATCTATCTATCTATCACTCCATCTACGCATCTATCTATCTATCTATCTAGCTAGCTAGCTTGCTTGCTTGCTTGCTTGCTGGTTTGCTTGCTAGCTTGCTATCTATCTATCTATCTATCTATCACTCCATGTAAGCATCTATCTATCTAGCTAGCTAGCTTGCTTGCTTGTTAGCTTGCCGTCTATCTATCTATCTATCTATCTATCTGCTTGTCTAGCTAGCCAGCTAGCTAGCTTGCTTGCTTGCTTGCTTGCTGGATTGCTTGCTAGCTATCGATCTATCTGTCTATCTGTCTCTCTATCTCGCTATCTATTCATCTATCTATCTTGCCTCTTTTTTTTTTAATCTCTCTATCTATCTATCTATCTATCTATCTATTCATATATCTATCTTGTCTATCCATCTATCTGTCTATCTAATTGATGTATTGGTCTGTCGTTATTGGTCAAACGGTCTATCGATCTATAAATCTTTCTATCATCTATCTGTCGGTCTGTCGATCTAGCGATCTACGTGTCTATCGATCGAGAATCTATCTGTCTGTCCGGTCATGCAACCTTTAGAGAACTCTCCAGGGCACCCTGCAAGGCAGCTCTAAAGGGAGCCGTTTCAGCGCTCAAAGGAACGGTCAACACCTTGACAGCCCAGGCCATAAAACCCTTGCAGGAGCCTTTCTTAGCACCCATGAAGGTCGCGTCCCTCAAAAGCCCTAAACCCTAAACCCAAAAAAGCCCTAAACCCTAACCCCAAAAAAGCCCTAAACCCTAAACCCCAAAAAAGCCCTAAACCCTAAACCCAAAAAAGCCCTAAGCCCTAAACCCAAAAAAGCCCTAAACCCTAAAACCCAAAAAAGCCCTAAACCCTAAACCCAAAAAAGCCCTAAACCCTAAACCCAACAAAGCCCTAAACCCTAAACCCAAAAAAGCCCTAAACCCTAAAACCCAAAAAAGCCCTAAACCCTAAAACCCCAAAAAGCCCTAAACCCTACCTAAGCCCTTGATATCGCCTGCAAAAGAAGTTCCTTCTGGCACCTCGAAGGTTCCTTCAAGGAGACCTCTGAAGTTCCTTAAAGGTTCCTGAAAGGAACCCTTAGGGTTTAGGGGTTTAGGGTTTAGGGGTTTAGGGTTTAGGGTTTAGGGTTTAGGGGTTTAGGGTTTAGGGGTTTAGGGGTTTAGGGTTTAGGGTTAGGAACCTATATTCCCCTTATAGTGACCCTTAAGGACCCCTTAAAATGGACCTTATTGCAGAACCATATAGCACCCTCTAGAACTCATGCTACCATTTAAAGGGTTCCTTAAGGGGAACCGTTCCAGGGTTCTTTAAAGGAGCCCCTCAGGGAAGCTACTAAGGCCTGGGGCGCACGCGCCATCCTCTTCGCAGCTTCCCCGGCCGGTCGGAAGGTCGCAGAGCTCGGCGGGGGTGCTCTGGCGCTGGCCAAGGCTGGGGCTTAGTTTAAGAGTCTCTTTGGGGTTTTAGGTTATAGGAATCGGCGTTTCGGGTGACCACCATAGAGAGGTGTTCACGATTTTTTTTGCATGTCCAGACCGTAATAGAGAGGTGAGATGAATTTATGAACTTATTATTCGACATTAATAAGGTCACATGCGTATATGTGCGCATATTATCAATATGTTTATGCATATGTAGAGGTTTGTGTCTATGTATTTGATATGTATATGTAAATGTATGTGTATACGTATAGCTGTAGGTATAGGTATAGGTATAGGTATATGTACACGCTTCTCTGTATGTATGTTCATAATACATGTATACCTACAGATGTACATGTATAGGTTTATGTATATGCACTTGTATACGCAGGTATGTTGATGTATGTGTATTTATATCTGTGTAGGTATATGTTGCTCTCTAGGTATATGTATTTGTGTATATGTCTATACATCTATAGGCTTACGTCTATGTACGTGTATGTGTTGTATGTACGTGCAAGTACATAGATGTTCAAGGTATGTGCGAAAGCATGCACGTATACACATACAAATACATACATACATCCATCCATGCATCCATCCATCCATACATACATACATATATCTATATATATTATAGTGTGTGTGTATATATATATATATTTATGATGCAGGGCTGCAACACCCCCCGTCCCCCCCCCTCCCCCCACCCCATGGTATCCTTCCCCCGCTGCCCCCCGCCCTCGCCAGGGCTCTCTGCTCCGCCCTGCCTAGCCCGCTCATTCATCATACATTTTTTGGCATCAGTTATGCTTTATTTTGTTTTATCAATCTTCTTCATTGTGTTCAAACCCATTTTTGAACATATTTTGCACAAATTACCTTATTCATTTCCACATTACCGCACCTCAACAATGTTTACACAAATTTTCACATTTTTCATGATTTCTCAAACACAATCTCTTTTTACATTGTCATCTTTCTCGTGTTTTTCTTGTCTAGGGTCTCCATACCCTATAAGGTGGCCTCCTTTTAAGTAGAGGCGGCGGAGGTGGAGGGCTACTGGTGGTTGTCAGTTGTTGGTTTGTGGCTACTGGCTGTTGGCAGTTGTTGGGTTCATCTACTGGCAGTTGTTGGTTTCGTCTACTGAGAGCTTTCCGGGTGAATACTCAGAGTTTTTGAATTTGTAGCTTCATCTACTGGCAGTTGTTCAATTCACGTACTGTTTTTTTTCTGAATAACATTGTTGTGCTAAAAAGCATTTGAGGAAATAGCCCCGTACTATAATATGGAAAATTCTGAGCTTAAGCCATCTACTTAAAGACCTTCTAAATGCACAAGAGAAAAAGGAGAAGACCATTTTAAACCAGAGCGAAAGCTATGTAAAGAATGTTTAGAAGAGAAAGCCATGTATAGAGAGAAGAACAGAGAAAGGCTAAGAGGAGAAGCAAAGGCATATTACAAAGAACATCGAGAAGAAACGCTGAATAAGAAAAGTCAAACAGTCGAATGTTTATATTGTCGTTGTCAAATAACGAAATGTGTATGACCAAAGCCATTACAATTCAAAAACACCTCAAATATTAAAAAGAATATGAAAACTTTAACTATGATTGTCTTCAACAACTGCAATCCAATAACTTATAGAATGTATAGCTTTCAAACATTCATAATAATATCAATATAAAGATATCGTTATACATGTAGACAAGCCACCACAGAAACCTACGCATAATATCATACCTAAAACCAGACATAACATGAAGCAGTGATAACGATTAAAAATGTGTTAAAAATGCCTCAAGAACGAAAGCGCTGAACAAGAAAAGCACGATAAACATGACGATATAATAATTTTGTGTTAAGAAAATGAAAGGTAGGATGCCATATTTTTTTGAAATTATGAAAAAATTGTGAAAATTTGTGTAAGAATGTTTGAGGTGCAGTAATGTAGATATGAATAAGGTAATTTGTGTCAAGTATGTTCAAAAATGGGTTTGAACATAATGACGAAGATTAATACAACAAAATCAAGCATAACGGACGCCTAAACATGTCTAATGAATAAGCGGGCTAGGCAGGCCCCTGTGGGGTGGGGCCCGTGGTGGTACCCTTCCCCGCCGCATCCCCTGTCCCTGTGGTTTCGTTGTTGTGGTGGGGTCTGAACCCCCCTTAGCTGAGGCTTTGGTTGGCCTGAATCGGAGTACGCAGCACGTGTAATACAAGGACCTCTTGTCACGATTAGTGATTCAACTGCTGTTACGTTCACTCTTTATCTTCCTTCTTGCTGTCGCACCGGTGATACTGCTCATGATGTTGTGCTGCTCTAGACGACGACGCGAGTCGACAATCGGATCATCTTTGACATCATGCTCAACATCATCACTGTCGTCGTCATCGCCATACAACCCTCACAATTAAGCATTGTAACTCATGTCTGATGCAGGAAACTACTGCGCAGATTGCCGCTTTCTGCACAGGGCAGGCGTGGGGTAGGGGGTGGGGGCAAGTGTGGCACACCCCCAGTCCGCGCAGCAGCAGGGGGTGCGGGGGGATATCATGGGAAGGGGGGGAGGGCAGGGGCCCGACACCCGAGAGCATATATATATATATATATGTATATTCAGTAATATGGTTTGTGTAGCAGTGTAGTACCTCGTGGTAAGTTGCTTAAAATCCCTCTTAAAACCCTGTTGGCCTGTTTTGAATAGAAAGTTTTCGTGCCTCAACAAGAATCCCGAAGGGTGGGGCGGGCATGATGTACTTCGCCATGCCAGCTCTCTTCGTGACGGTCCTCCCCTTCATGGTCAACCTTGTGAATAAGGCCGCCATCCCTGAATCGCCGGAAGCACTGAAGCCTAAACCTCAGCCCTGAACCCTTAAGCCCTCAACCCTAGACCCCTCAACTCTAAACCCAGCCCGAAACCCATGAAGAAGGCCGCCAATGTCTCTGTCCCCATGTGGCCGGGGGAGGGCCTGACCTTCATCACATACCACCGGAGTCTGGGTCGAAAGCTTGATGTGATTTTATAAGATGCGGTGTGGGTTCGTGAAAGGAGCCCAAACTTAAGTTGCCATCGTACACACCTTACACCCTAAACCCTAAGCCCCATCGTACAACATCATGGAAGTTGCGTTTTAGCCCCGAGCCCAGGAATGCTGCACACCTCTTTGTGTTGGCGGTGATCTTGCATGCCGCCGGCCACATATGGTCGTTTGTCAAGGCCGGAAGCAACCCTAAGCTCACAAAGAACACCTTTCCCCAAAACCCTAAGCCCTAAAGCCTAAAGGCTCAACCCTGAGCCCTGAATCCTAAACCCCAAAGCCTGAACCCTAACTAAGCCCGCACCCTTAGCCTCAACCGTAAGTCAGGCGGGGAGCGTGGAGCAATACACCACCGTCCTCTGGCAGGGAAACACGTATGCCTGGCTTTGGCCATGGGGAACTGGCGTTCTCATCCTTCTCCTGGGCCTCATCCTCTACATCTCGTTTTGGGCCATGAAAAGGCCAGGCTCAGGACTTAGGCTTTAAGGTCTCGGGTTCAGGGCTCGAAGCTTGCGGGTTTAGGCCATCAGAAGGCAGTGCTACGACTTCTTCATCCGCAACAAGCGCGTGTTGGGATCCCTTCTCCTGGTGCTTGCGGGCCTGCATGGCTTCACCGGCAACTTTGGTCCACCCCGGCTTTGGTGGTTCATGTCCCTGATCCTCGGTTTTTTTTTGAGGATATCAACATTGAGGACATATGTCACGACAAATCATTGTTTCCTGCAGATCCTCCATCATCATAACGTCAACTACCTTCTTCTAAACCCCATGAAGCCCGTATACATGCCAGAAAACCTCACAGAATAAGAGCCCTAAACCCCTAAACCTGAAAAGCCCTAAGCCCTAAACCCTAAACTTTTAAACCCTAAGCCCTAAACCCTAAACCCTGAACCCTACGCCCTAGCAAGAGCCGAGGATCCTGTGCCTCTGGATGATTGACCGGACCGTCAAGCGATCCCGGGCCAGCCAGATCAGCTGCCGGGCTCTTGCTAAGGAACTTAAAAACTAAGGGTTTAGGGCTTAAAGTTGAGGGTTTAGGGTTCAAGGTTTAGGGGTTATAAGGCTTAGCTACCGTATTATGGTAGATGATAGGGTTTCCGTATTCGAGATCTATAGTTGGTATGAAGTTACCGTATTGGGGGTCTACAGTCAGCACTAGAGTTTCCTTAGGGTGGTAAGTGAAGTAGCTTAAGCTGCTATATAGTGAAGAGTAGCGTTTCCTTATTCTAGTAACTTAAAGTTACGGGTGTACAGTAGATTAAAGTTAGGGTTCTATAGTAAATCAGAGGGTTTCCTTATCATGGCAACCTAAACTAAGCCCCCTAAACCCTAAACCCTTAAACCCCTAAACCCCTAAACCCTAAACCCTAAACCCTAAACCCTAAGCCCCTTTCCAAGAACGCAGGCTGCAGCCAGCGTATCCTGAAGATGCTCAATGCTCAAGGCCATCCCATACCCCATGTTTTAGGGATTTAGGGTTTAGGGTTTAGGGTTTAGGGGTTTAGGGTGTGCAGCCCCGAGTGTACATCTAAGATGCTGGATACTACACCTGCCTGAATACGTCGAAATCTAAGTGCAAAGTTTAGTTTAGATATCACCACGTAAATATTTGATGGAATAAATAAACATTTGCATGAGTAGATCAATAGACGAGAAATAAATAGGTAAATAACCTAATACATGAAAAGTGTGTGTGTGTGTATATGTGTATATATATATACACACGGAAATACACATAATATCTTGGGTAGGTATGTAGGCATGGGGCAGGGAGGAAGGTAACCCAGGTAGATAGACAGACAGACAGACAGACAGACAGACAGACGGATAGATAGCTTAATGGAGAGGTTGATGGATAAGTTCATGGGTAGATAGATCAGTCCATGATCTAGTTGATTGTTTCTCTTCAAGATAAACCCCGGAGGTCTAAACTGTAGACTTATTCATGCAGAAAGGGATCCTTAGTAATTAGCATGCTGTGCTGGGCCATGTTTCAGGTCAGTTCAATGGAGCGATCCTGGTGTTGCGCTCAGAGGACCCGCAGACCAACGATGCATCCTTCTTGTTCTTTGGTTTCGGGTTGGGGGTCTAGGGTTAGGGTTTGTTTAGGCTAGGGCCCTAAATAATTACTAATACTATGCTGGGGTTCTTTACTATACTTAGAGTAGAATTCGCACCAACATCCTATGCTTCATGGCTTGGGGCTTCACCTAGATGCCTGTCAACCCTACGGTCACCCAGACTCTGCGTCCGACGCACCCTAAACCCTGAAACCCCAAACCCTAAACCCGAAATAGACCTTAAACCAAACCCTCAACAGTACCCTGATCCTCCAAGGACACCTTCGTCGAAGCCGAGCCGGGTGCGGTGCTGCTGCAGGTAGACCTCCTTCTCAAGACCGTAGGTTGCTGATCCGACCGAGAAACAAACAAGGGCGAGAGAGAGAGAGAGAGAGAGAAAAAACAAAACGGCCAAGAGAGAGCGAGAGCGAGCATGCAGTCCATCCCGACTACCTTTCACTCTCTCCAAAGCCCCATAGCAAAATGGGGGGGGCACTTAGGCCGCGGGATTTGACACATCTCCCATGCCCTGTGTAAGAAGAGAGCATGCAGTGTGAAGGAGGGGTGCAACACAGTATGGTTTGCTAAGCAACGGTACTTGACGAAAAAGCGTGACATCTGCTGTCTAATGGTTATGGCTTTCATGAGTTCAGGTGGTGGGCGTGAATGGCCGTCATCCGCTGACGCAGATCGCGTATCCATCACCCAGCCGGCGCAACCGCTGGCAGGTGGAGTACCACATCCGGCTACAGCCCAATGCCGAGAAACAGAACTGGGCCCACCGCCTGTACGACCATGCACGCGCACGGGAGGGCACAGAGGAGGGACAATAAGTTCATAGTCATAGACTCTGAACCCTAATTTAATAAAAGCGCTAAATGGTCCCCGAGGAGCCGATTCACCTCGAGGTGGCTGGACCCATGAACACCTTGGGCACATTTGGTCAGGAGGAACTCCTTAAGGACGTCCATCGCCTGCTCTTTGTGGCCATTGGCGTGGGCTTCACCGGCTGTGTGCATCCCATGTTCCACGCCCATGAGGCGCGGTTTGGTGCTTCAGGGTTCAGGGCTTCGAGCTTCAGCGTTCAGGTTTTAGCCTTCTCCCAACCCTAAACCCTAAGCCCTAAACCCTAAACCCTAAGCCCTTCTCCCAAACCTAGCAAGTGAAAGTGTAATCCCTCTGGAACCGTTAAGTTGCTCAACCCCAAAACCCTTGGCGCCCGCTAGACCCTAGAATCCTCAACCCCTTTCAGAAATCCCGCGCGCCACAGCTCTGAAATCTCTTTAAGTTCTTTTATACCCCGAAGATTCACAACCACGCAAAGCCGAATCCCAATCACAAAGCCTGACCCTTACACCCTGAAGCCTAAACTGATCCCTAGACCGTAAACCCCAAACCCTCCAACACAGAAAACCCAAAGAGACGCTTCTTGGAAAGGCCGAAATACCACCGGAAGCGATGCGGCCCCTGGCTTCAAGTTAGAGGGGTCTTGAGCAAGCAGATGCCAGCCCCACACCTCACATCCAACAGCCCCCTCCCCCCACGCTTTCACACCATTTCTCGACCCGCCTAACCATTCAACTTTCCAAAACACCAAAACACAGAGCACTGCCCAAAATTCAGTGCAATAATCCATAGCGCAACCCAAAACCCAAAGCACCTCAACAATGCATAACCTCAACCACTCTCTAGATCCTAATGGGGTGTGGTGGTTGTGGGAACCCAGGAGCCGGAAATTCTTGTCTCGTGCAGAATAGAAGTTTCCGGGTTTAGGGTTTAGGGGTTTAGGGGTTTAGGGGTTTAGGGTTTCGGGGTTTAGGGGTCTAGGGTTTAGGGGTCTAGGGTTTCATTCTTTGAGCAAGGTTTGATCCATCGTGAGGGAACACATTTACATTTTGATCTACAGTGGTTTTCGCACTCAGCGACATGCTTGTGTTCAACGTGCGACGGTTCACATGCCTGTTCATTCCGGGACCCTTTTGAGTTTGTTTTGTGCTTTGGAGTTTGGTGTTGCGTGGGGAGGTGCTTTGGCTTTGGATGGTGTTATGGATTTTTGTATGGTTTTGTCAGGTGGCTTTGTTTTGGGGTTGCGTTATGGATTGTTGAGTTAGTGTTGGGGTGTGCTTTGTGTTTTGGACTGTTCTTGGGATTTCGGCGTCAGATTGGGGCGGTGCTTTGTGTCTTGTGGTTTTGGAAGGGTTCAAGTCGTTGGCGGGTTGAGAAATGGGGTGAAAGCGTGGGGGGCGGGGGGGGGGGGTATTGGATGTGAGGTTTGGGGTCAGCTATTGCTTGCTCTTTTAGGGTCCCTAAACCCTAAACCCTAAACCCCAAGGTTGAGGGTTTGGGATTTCGGGGTTCGGGTTTAGGAGTTTACGAGTTTGGGTTGAGGGTTTGGGACTCCAGGGTTGAACTTTGAGGCTCTTTTTGTACCCTAAATCCTAAACCCTAAACTCTAAACCCTAAACTCTAAACTCTAAACCCTAAACCCTGAACTCTAAACCCCGAAAGAGTTCATTCAGTGTCAGACGACCAGAGGCTCTGTATCCGGACCCCCTCCCCGGAGTACGCGGACGCCGTGGAGCCTGTGACTCCCAGAGTCATGTTTTCGTGCTTCTTCAGACTTTAGGGTTAGGGTTTGGGGTTGAGGGTTTAGGGTTAGGGTTTAGGCAAGGGGTTTAGGGTTTAGGGTTTATAGGGTTTCCTATACTACGGTTAAGGGTTTAGGGTTGTTTATTTCAAGTTCTAAATATGTCGTAGAGGGCGTGGTAGGATTTATGGGTGGTCTATGTCTTTTTTTTTGATCAGGCTTTCGCAGCAGTTTCAATGGGTCTCATAAGCCTGTCGAGCATTCAGCATGCCTTTGTGCGGGGCGCCTCATTTTGAGAGGTGTTTAGGAGCTTATGACTCAACCGAATATGCGTGGCTCGTTCTCTCGGTAGTTGCTTTTGAGACCAGGTTCCGTGAGAGATGTTTAGAGTCTAGAGCTCAGGACCCCTCAACTAAGGACCGCACTTCGGAACCCTTCTTAATGGGCTAAGAACTCTTATTTCTAGAACTCTAGATGCAAAGCCAAAGCCGTATGCCGGCATTAGTTATTCAGACCCGTATATTGCTCGAAGCTCTATCGTAAGTATTCAGACCCCTAGATTATCCCAACTCCAAAAATCGTAACCCAAATCCTAAACCCCACACCCCATGAGCCTAGCACTAGGAGCTCGATATCGTCCCTTCCTTCCCTGAACCCTAACCCTAGGGTTTAAGGTTTAGGGTTTGGGGGTTTGGGGTTTAGGGTTTGGGGGTTTAGGGTTTAGGGTTTGGGGGTTTAGGGTTCAGGCTTTAGGGTAACCCTAAACCCTAAACCGTGAACGCCTGGATCCCTTGAGCCTTACGTTTCCGAGGAGCCGGTGTGCTCGGCCTATGGGCTGCGCCGGGGGGAGCAACTGCGGATCTCCATCAGCGAGGTGCACGTGGGTACTGGGTTTAGGGTTTTGGGTTTAGGGTTTAGGGTTTAGGAGGGCGTTTCGAGCTTTTGAGGGTGTTTTGCAAGGGCTCAAGCAAAGAAGCCCTGAGACCCCCTGCACGGCAATATGCCTTGAACCCCAAACCCCCATAGACCCTACCCTCCAAACCCCTTCAACCCTGAAGTTTACCCATGAACCCCAAACCCTAAGCCAAAGGCCTAAACCCGAAACCCTAATCCTACCCCGCACAACGGCCCCCCCCCCCCACCCTAAACTCTAAACCCTAAACCCGAAGCCCTAAACCCCAGACCCCAAACCCTTCCCCCAAGGACTCGTCACAAGCGAAGCCGGAAGAGCGGCAGAGTCGGAGCCAGTGGGGGAAGATGCTCACTGGTGAGGTGGCTCAGCGCATGCAGAAAGGGCAGGGGTTCCGTCGGGGCTCTATGTGGGTTTAGAGTCTTAGAGTTGCGGGTTCAGGGATCTGTAGATTGAGGGTTTTCGGGTTTGGGACTCTGTAAGGGTTTGGGCTTTATAACAGTCCCTAAAACCAAGAATCCAAAAACATAAAATTACTAAACCATAGATCCCAGCACTGCCGAGGTGGACGCCTTGTCCAAGGGCGGGGGTGGGCTGGTGCTCCTCTTCTGTTGCGGGCCATCGCCCGCAGTGCAGGGCGTTCAGAAGTTGAGACGCGGCTTCAACTGGGCGGTTTTCTACCCTAACCCTAAACCCTAAACCCTAGGGTTTGGAGTTTCTTAACATTTGGGGGGTTCTTCCCTTTTCAGGAGTTTCGGGCTTCAAGTCTTTGCTTTATCGGGGTCTTCTTCTTTGGACTTTGCAGGGTTTAGGGTTTAGGGTTTTAAGCTCAAAATGTAAGGCCGAAAGAAACCCTGGACCTGAAACTCTCGACAGGTCAGCCCAAGCCTTAGACTGAGCAGCGCGTGAACTTTAAACACCGGGTCCATGCAAGTCTGCAATCCGAGCTATGGCCCGCATGCGACACAAGCAGGATGGCAGGCATGGCTTTGCGCGTTAGTATCTGTCATTGTGCTTAGTCCCTGACATTCGTCAGTGCTCCACGTTACCTAGACCCCACACCTTGAACCCTGAACCCTAAACCCTAAACCATAAACCGTCTCGTCTCTCTAGACCTGGCATTCGAAGTTCCGCCTGCCTAGAGATGCGGAGACAAGGGATTGCTGAAACCCTCAGCTCTAAACCCTGGTCCCTCAACCTTCAATCCAAAACCGAAAGCTAAGCCCTAAGTTCGTAAATCCTAAGCCCTAAACCTCAAACCCCATATGGGGGTTTCCGCAAACAGGGGACCCTAATATAGTACCCTAAATAGTAGGGTCCTTAGTCTAAGGACCCCAAAGTAAGGTACCCTAAACATCAAACCCCACATCTCCCCAGGTTCCTGGATGACATGCGTGTTCGCATGATTGCCGAAGCCTTCGGCTGATGACCGCCGCGGAAGGGGGCTCCTTTGTTTCAGAGCTCCTTCTTTAGGGTTTAGGGTTTAGGGGTTTAGGGGTTTAGGGTTTAGGGTTCATGGCTTCAAGCTTCCCCTCTTAGGGCTTAGGGTTTGGCGGGTCTGGGGATTATGCTCGAGGGTTTGAGGTTTCCTGAGGGTCTAGGCTGTGGCCGCCGTTTCCCGACAGCAGTGGTGGCGATCCACGTTTCAGGCCACGCTGTGTGCTTTATCACCCTCTGCTTTGCAAGATGGGGGTCAAAGAGTGCAGGAAGATCCAGATCGATGCAAGTGGCAAAACCGAAGCAACCGCTCGTGTTAGTGTAGAGGCCTGCGTACACTTTTGCTGGGCTGTAGCGCAAAACCCTATTCCCATCCTTGCCCTAGATGAAAACCCTCTGAAGCCCCGCAGAAAAGTTATACACCCCGGTTGTAGGCATTGTGGCACCTCTATGCTGGGTCCCTAAACCCCTAAACCCTAAACCCTACTAGGTTAGACGAGAAGTGTGAGGTTGCATCCTCTCTGCCCCCGGCTTCCTCGGAGACATCCTGAATGCCGAAGCCCTTAGGACCTCGAATGCCCCTAAACTCGGACCACAACGCCTACCACACGAAACCTAAACGCTAAAGCCTACACCCTAAATTCGGATCCCTAAGCTCTACCCAAACCCTAAACCCTAAACTCTAAGCCCTAAACCTAGCCGGAAACCCTCGAACCCCTTTAGCAGCCCGACAGCCGAGCTTGGGACCCGCAAAAGCGTTTTTCAGCGGGTTAAGGCCGGTTGAGGGGTCCTTCCAAGCTCACAGAGTGACACTGTCCTCCTAACAAGGAGCCCTTAAAGCAACCCCTTTTAAGGAACCCCTTAAAGGAGCCCTTGAAAGGAACCCCCAATCCCTCATAGACTTATCGCATAGCTTGACCCAATCATCGGGGCGTTTATGTTAACTGGGGTGGCTGTAGGGTTTTAGACTGTTTAACATTTTACACAGGGTGCAATGCAGGCGCCCATCGCGGCCGCAATGCAGGGTTGCGCCGGGTTAGGATACGCCAAACCACTCAATTAAGCCCTGACGCCCTAACCCTAGTAGAAGCTACTGCCCACGCACTGTCGCAGCCCGACGGCCCAGCAGAAGCTTGCTGCATATGAGGAGGTCAGTCCAAGCTTCATTCGCCATATAGGGGCTTTAGTGATTAGAATAGGCTTTTTCCGGTACAGTATGGTATTCAGGAACCCAGAGGCGTTGTATTGGTGGTACTTCGGCCAGTAGCGCTACTGGAGGGCCGTGGGACTTAACTGTGTTGTCCTGGTTTTTTCGGTTCAACGTTTGTTCGTTACCGTCCCAAGCCTCGACCCTAAACCACTTCGACGATGGCCGAGAGCATTGCATGGGCCTAATGTCTGGCCCTCCTCGTCGATGCAAGGTGCGCCAGAGAGGAGGGCAGGCTTGTGTCGGAGTATGTGAATGTGTCTTCGGATTTCGCTTCGTTCTTGCATTTTGGGTGTAGGTCTGTTTTTTGGGGGGTTCATGCGGCTCGGATCATGCCAGATGACCGCCAAGAGTGATGACTGTCGACTGGCGATCCCAGCACCTAAGCCGAGCAGCCAAAAACCGATAAAACCCTGTTTTGGCCCCTGGAAGCCCCAAAAAACCCCTAAAAATCCTGTAAACCCTTAAAGCCCCCGACCCTCTAAACCCTCAAAAGCCCTTAGAGCCCTCAATCTTTATACTCGGCGCCTTTTGGGGCCTTAAAAACCCCAAAACCCCCCCAGTGGGAGGCCATAGAAAGTCGGCCGAGGAAGACCAAGAGGAGGCCCTGGTAAGTCGGTTTTTGCCACATGGGGCCTCCTTTTTAAGGGCTTCCTTTCAGGGTCTCTATACTTATAGTAAGGATCCTACTAGTTGGCGTACTATATCAGGGTCCCCTAGTTTCGGAAACCCCCATAAGGGTTCCTTTCAGGGCTTACGGATTCCTCTGCAGGGCTCGTTTTAAGGGTTTCTACAACACTGTTCCCTCAAAAAGTACCTCGAAGGGACTTCCAAAGGGGGCGGTTGCTGTGACAGGTTTCGTGGCCAGTTCTGGAGTCGAACAGGTTTGGGAGTTCAAGGTTTCTGGTTTCGGGCTTCTGGTGTCTGGGTTTTGCTTAGGACCTATCTTTAGAAATTTAGGGTATAAGCATAGGGGTTAATTGAGGGGTTTGGAGAGTTGTTTGAGCCGTGGAATATGAGAGTTCTGCCGTTAGTTTTGCTCATTCTGAATCCACGCATTGGTAGATTTCGTGCTTAAGGGGGTTTAGTGTCCTACCGAAGGTTTTCGGATGGTTTGCACACCGTGATTCTAGAGCATGCAGGAATCCTTGGGAGGGTTTCAAGGAAACCATGCCCATGCGGGATTTTGTCTCAACTGTCGTCACGAGAAAAAATCCTGATCGCGCTGCACTGCTAGCTTAGGGTTCAAGGTGTTGAATGGGGCTTAAGGTTTCGGGAGTTGGTGTTTGTCCTCCTTGTGGTGTCAGCAGATTTTTGTAGCGGCATCTGCCATCAGCGTGAAAATCACAGGAGCAACATAAAATGAAACAGCAACAACAACAAGCGCATGAGTAGGAAGATTAAGAAGAGACATGAACCCTCAAACTCAATCTTAGGCTCGAAACCCCGAAGCCCTAAAACGTCACAAGATCGGGACTTATCCAACCCCGAAACCCCGACACCAAACCCAAAACCCTAAAGCCTACAACCCTAAACTAAAACCCTAAAGCCTACAACCCTAAACCCTAAACCCTAAACCCTAAACCCTAAAGCCTAAACCCTAAAGCCTAAACCCTAAAGCCTAGACCCTAAAGAGCATACGGAGGACCTGTGGCCTTGCCGAACCTTCAAGGTCGCGTCTCGGAAGTCCTGGGGGTGGAGGGTTCAAGTTTCGTGTTTTTGGGGTTGTAGGCTTTCGGATGTAGGGTTTCGGATTTAGGGTTTTGGGTGTAGGGGTTTAGGGTTTAGGGTTTAGGGGTTTAGGCTGCAGGGTTTCGGGTGTAGGGTTTAGGGTTTAGGGGTTTAGGGCTGTTGAGGGGCAAGAGGGTATATTTTGCCTTCGGGGCTCGTTCTGAGGGGTCTGACTCTGGCACCATTTTCTTGCCGCTCTCCTCTACGCTCTTCTTGTCTTTGCTCCTTTGCTGTTGGTTCTAGGCAGGGCAGCGGGGGGGGCAGGGAGGGCCAGAAGGGTGCAGGGATAAGCGAAAAGTCGACGAAATTTTGGCCTCGCGGCCGCTTTAAAGCTAGAGGTACCGTATTACAGCTAGGGGCGATTTAAAGCTAGGGGTTTAAAGCTAGGGGTGATTTACAGCTAGGGGTGATTTTTTAAAGCTAGGGGTGACCCCCTAGAGAGAGAAATTCCTTCACAGAGCTTCAAAGCGGAATTGACCAGGGCGCCGACTACGCTGGCGAACCCTAAACCCTAAAC